CGGGCGAGGGCGGCTTCGACTTCAAGGGCGACGCGCTCTTCTTCGTCGCGGACTTCGAGGACTTCTCCGACTGCCCGCTCATGGCCGCGCTCGCGGACGCGATCTTCTGAGACCCCCGTTGCCCGCACCCCCCAGCGCGCTCGCGGTATCTCGCGATCGCCCCCCGTCCACCCCGCGCGCCATAGTAGCGAAGCTGAGCGCCCCCCGCGCCTACTTCGCCGGCGCGTCGCCCATGACGACGTCGCCCTCGGCGTCCTTCTTCGCCTGGGCCGCCGCGGCCTTCTTCGCCCGGGCCTCCTCGAGGCGCTTCTTCTCGTCGGCGACGCGCTTCGCCTCCGCCCGCTCCTCCTCGGCCTTGCGGGCCTTGAGCGCCGCGATGGCCTTCTCGCGCTGCTTCTCGAGCGCGTCGTTCGCCGCCGCGTCGGCCGCCGCGGCCTCCTTGGCCTTGGCGGCCTCCTCGAGCTTCTTCGCCTCCGCGTCCTTGGCGGCCTTGGCGGCCTTGTCCGCGCGCGCGCGCTCCAGGATGGTGTCCGGCGTGTCGAGCCCCCGCTCCTTGAAGAAGGCGTCGAAGGCGGCCTGGTCCTCGAAGTCGGGCTGCGGCTCGAGGGGCGGCGCCGCGGCCGCGGCCTTGTCCGCGGCGGCCATGACCGGGTCCGGCGGCTCCGAGCCCCGGTGCTTCTCGACCGTCGCGACGAGCAGGCTCAGCGCCGCGTGCTGCGTCTTCAGCCGCGCGGCGAAGGACTCCGCCGGCGGCGCGGGCGCCGCGCCCGCGTCCTTCGCCGCGCCCGTCGTCGGGATCCGCGCGCCGAAGCCCCCCAGGTACGCGAGGAAGCTCCGGGGCCCCATGGGCCGCGCGTCCTTGTCGCGGCCGCTGTGCTCCTGGGGCATGCGGCTCTCCCACTGGTCGTCGCGCGTCCAGACGCGGTCGAGGCACCGCGCGTAGGCCTCGGGCCCGACGGCCTGCGCCGCGTCCTTGGCCCGCGCGGCGTCGTCGCTGGCCCGCGGGCTCCGCTGGCTCCCGTGGGAGCCGGACCGCGAGTCCTTGCGGCCCGCGGCGAGCGTCGAGTCGCTCCGGTGCCGCGGCGACGTCGCCGTCTTGCAGTGGATCCACGGCGGCGGGTCCAGCCGCTTCGACTTCTTGCCGTGGCGCCGGCCCAGGGACCCGACGGCCGCCGCGTAGCGGACGCGCCGGTTCAGCGTCTCCACGCGGCAGCTCCGCAGCCACTCCGGGTTGTGCACGAGGCCCGCGGCGTCCCGCAAGGGCAGGCGCGCGACGGACAGGTCGAAGGGCCCCTCGAGCGCCAGAGGCACGCTCAGCGCGCCCGGCGCGCGGTCGCCCTCGTCGAGCGCGGCGTAGAAGAGGTCCGCGTCGCCCTCCCGTGCCTCCTCCTCCATGGCGACGTCGTCGTCCGCGACCGCCGGAAGCTGGCTCCGGGACGCGCGCGCCATCTCCGCGCGCCGCGTCGCCTTGTCGATCTTCGCGGCGACGCGGCCCACGGCCGCCGCGTCGGGCAGCGTGCCCCCGAGGAGGAGCGGCGCGTCGTCGTCGTCCGACTTGCCGAGCGCCGTGCCCGCGAGCGCGACCAGACCGCCCCAGCGCGTCGAGTTCGCGTCGCACGTCGCGACGACGCCGAGCCGCGCGCCCAGCGACGCCTTCACGGCGGCGAGCGCGCCGCCGTCGCCGGCCCAGTCGCCCGGCGCCGCGCGCGACGCGTCGAAGCGCGCGGCGTCGAGCGTGCCCGCGACGACCAAGCGGTACGCCGGCAGCGGCGCGGGCGCGTCGCCCGCCTTCTTCTTCTTCGACGGCGACGCCGACCGCGCCGCCTGGTCCGCCAGGTCGCGCTGGAGCCGCTGGAGCCAGTCCGCGGGGCACCGCTTCGGGCACGCGCACCAGTCCTCGTCGAAGACGACGACCGCGTCGACGCGCGGCGCCTGGGCAGCACAAGGGTGATTCAACGTCGCTTCAACGTGAGTGTTCCGCGCGCGCGCGTTCCGGAAAAAGCATCCACGCTTCGAGACCGTTCCGAGAGATGATCGCTCGTCCAAAAATCAGCCGAAACGAGTGGAAAACGGCCGAGATATGAGCCTTTGAAGTTGGGAATTTCGCTCTCTTGTGCTGCCCTGCGCGGCGCCTTGAGCGCGCGCTCGTAGGTCGCGAAGGCGCGGCCGGAGAGCGCGACGCACGCGTGCGCGTCGCCGGCGTCGAAGGCGTCCACGAGGGCGTCGTGCGTCGCCGGCGAGTAGGCCGCGCCGCCGCCCAAGACGCCCGGCACGTCGCCGACGGCCTCGAGCGCCTCCGGCAGCGAGCAGAGCACGAGCAGCCGCTTGCCCAGGCCCTTGTACTGCGCCGCGAGCGCCGCGAGCGCCTCGACCTTGGCGCCGCCCAGGCCCGGCGGCCCCGGGGGCTCCGGCGGCAGGGGCATGCCGTCCGCGCCGAGCGCCGGCGCGGGCGCGGGCGCCGCGACGCCCGCCGTCGCGAGCGTCTCCGCGCCCGCGCAGACCAGACGCAGCGCCCGCAGCGTCTCCGCGACGCGCCCCGCGTCCTCGGCGGACGACGCCTTCGCGCAGAGCCCCCGCTTCGCGTCGTTGCAGTTCACCAGACGCGCGTAGGCGCGGTGCTGCTGCTGCGTCGGCGCGCACGACACCCAGGCCGCGGGCTGGTCGACGTCGGGCCGGTCGCCGCCCTTCTTCTTCTTCGCCCCGGCGGCGGGCGCCTCGCGGCGGCCGCCGCCGTCGAAGTCGCCCCAGGACGCGCAGCGGTCGCGCACGCTCCGCTCGAGCGCGCGGAGCGCGCCGTGCGCGGAGGTCGCGGACGCCTCGAAGGCCTTGAGCGCGTCCCCCGGCCCGCCGCCCGCCGGGTGGAGGAAGGCCCGCAGGCCCGCCCAGCCCAGGGCCTCGGCGTCGCCGTGCGGGCACGCGGCGACGATGACGCGCCGGTTGGCCGAGGAGTGCGAGTCCAGGGACTGCAGCGCGGCCGCGAGCGGCGCGGACGCCGCCAGGTCCTTGCGGTCCTTCTTCGGCACGCGCACGTCGACGACGCTGTAGGCCCAGGCGACGCCGTCGGCGCCCCGGCCCAGCACGTCGTCGACGTCGACCTCCATCATGTCGTCGTCGTCGTCGTCGTCGGCGGGCGCGGGCGCGGGCGCGGGCGCGGACGGGGCGATGCCGTCGAGCGACGCCGGCTTGCCGACGCCGGCGGCCAACGCCGCGGCGGCGTTCGCCTTGGCCTCCTCGGCCTTGCGCTTCTTTTCGGCCTTGGCCTTCGCGCGCTCCTCGACGCGCAGCCGCCGCCGCGCGACGTCCGCGCGGATCAGCACGACGCGCGGCCGCCCGTCCGTCGCCGGCGGGGACCCGGCGGCGGCGACGGCGGCGCCGTTGCCCGCGACGGCGCGGCGCCAGCGCCGCTCGGCCTCGTCGCCGAAGCAGACGACGACCGTGGGGCCGCCGGCGCGGACCAAAGCGCCGGCGACGGTCCGCGTGAGCCGCTCGTTGCCGAAGCGCGCCACGAGGGCGCAGTGGCCCTTGGACGCGCCCTGGCACAGGCCGTCCAACGACGCGGCGAGGGCGTCGCAGTCCGCGGCCCGCCGCTGGAGCGACCCGGCCGCGAAGCCGTCGCCGGAGATGGGCCGCGTCTTCGCCGCGAGGATCTCCGCGGCGCACGCGTCCGCGAGGCGCTTCGCCGCGGCGACCTTCCACTTGCGCTCCTCGTGGACGTCCGTCGCGAGCCAGCGCATCTCCTCGAGCGCGTGGTCGACGTGCGTCCGCGCGCGCGGCGCGACGCACATGGACGGCAGCGCGCCGCGGTACGAGCCCGCGCGGCGGAGCCGCCGGAGCTTGGCCAACGCCGTGTTCCAGCGCAGCTGGAGGGCCTTCATCTGCTGGCCCACGGACGACGCCGCGGACGTCACCGACGCGGCGCCGTCGGCCTTCTTGGACTCGTCCTTCTTCTCGTCCTTGACGGCGACGGCGCCCTCGACCTTGACCTCGGGCGCGTCGGCCTTGGCGGGCGCCGCGGGCGCCGCGGGCTGCGCGCGCGCGGCGGCGACGCCGGCGGCCGTGGCGGCGACGGCGGGCGCGGGCGCGGCGGCGGCGACGACGGCGGCCATGCGCGGCGTCGCCTGGGCCTGCGCGGGCGGCGGCGCGGGCGCCGCCGCGGGCGCCGCGGCGACGACGGCGGCCATGCGCGGCGTCGGGCCCGTCGCCGCGACGGCGGGCGCCGCCGCCGGCCCTTGGGCGCGGGCGCGGGCGCCTTGGGCTGGGCCTTGGGCGTCGGCGCGGCCTTGGGCGCGGGGGCCGGCGCCGGCGCCGGCGCCTTGGGCTGGGCCTTGGGCGTCGGCGCGGCCTTGGCCGGCGGCCGCGGCGACGCGTCGCGCGACGACGTCGACGCGCGCGTCGCGCGCGTCGCCGGCTTCTTCGCCGCTTCCGGCGCCTCCTCCTCGTCGTCGTCCTCTTCCTCCTCGGCCTCCTCCTCTTCCTCGGCCTCATCTTCTTCCTCTTCCTCCGACGACTCCTCCTTCGCGCGACCTCGCTTCCGAGTCGACATGCGCTGCGTCTCCGCGGGCTTCGCCTCGGCCTTGTCCTTGGCGGCGGCGCCGCGCGTGCGCCGCTTCGGCGGCGGCGCTGGCGCCGGCGCGGCGGCCTTCCGCTTCGAGGCGCGCGTCATCGCGCGAGTTGCCGCACGCGCTCAAGGCCTGTGCGCGCTCGCCGTGTTCTCCTTGTCGCGCGCACTCAACGACGTGTTTTCTATCGTCCGTCGCGGGAGCCTGGCGGCGAGATCGAAGGCGGTTCTGTATTGTTGGTCCGTCGCGGGAGCCTGGCGGCGCGGGCGGGCGGACGAGCGATCGTCTTGCGCGGCCACGAGCGAGACCACCCCTGTTGCTGGCCGGGGGTCCGGCGCCGTGCACCCGTGCGCGGCCCCGGCGGAGCCATTCCTGCCAGCACACTCACGAGTCCCAACGTAACCTCCGCCTCCCAAAAATCACCACCAGCCTCGCGAACCGTTAGAAGCTCGGCGCGACGAAGGGTCGGTCGTCGACGGCCGTGCGGATGTCGTCCGGGTGGTCGAGGAGCGCGTCGATGTAGGCCGCGAGGTACTCGAGGGCGTCGTCGCCGCCCTTGCGCACGGTCGCCTCGTCGTAGGTCGGCACGACGAGCACGTTCGACGGGTACTCGCGCATCTTGCGGTGCGTGTCGTCGATGACCAAGGTGTTCGTCTCGTCGAAGCCGTGGGCCGCCTTGGCCGGCGTGCCCCAGACCTTGGGGAGGTCGCGCATCGTGTCCCAGGCATTCTCGCCGGAGGCGTCGTCCTTGTTGAACTTGCGCTCGTACATGTCCGCGCGCTTGCCCCGCGTGAGGTACCGCGCGATGGGCTGCGCGTTCGCCTCGCGCATGGACGTGTAGAAGGCGAAGACGACGCGCCGCCGCGCCGGGTCGCTCGGCGTCGCCGCGTCGCAGAGGAACTGGACGAGGTCCTCGGCGTGGTCGCGGGCGTAGTAGTGCGTGCCGTTCTCGACGACGGCGGCCTTCGCGCTCACGGGGAGAACGGTTTTGGACCGGTGCACGAGTGTGCCGTTCATGTCGCAGAGCACGAGGAGCGGGTTGCCCACGAGCTGGGGTTTCGTGGTTTTCGGCTTCGGCGGGGATTTCGCGGGCGGTTTCGCGGGCGCGGGCTTCGGGGGCGTCGGCGCCGGCTTCGCGGGCGTCGCGGGCTTCGCCTTGGCCGGCGTCGGCGCCTTCTTGCCCGGCGTCGAGCCCTTGGACTGCACGTCCGAGAGCCGCCCGAGGAGCGTCGTCGTCGTCGGCGACGCCGCGAGCCAGAACGACTCCGCGCCGCCGGTCGCGGCGCTCGAGAGCGCGACGGGCGCGGCGGGAGCGGCCGGCGCGGCCGCGACCGGCGCGGGCGGCGGCGGCGGCGGCGGCGGCGGAGGCCTGGCGACCTCGGCAAGGTCGACGCCGCGCGCCGCCGCGTCGCGCGCCTGCGCTATGGCCTTGGTCCAGCGCGAGGCGGCGAGGCGCAGCATTTCGTTTTCTTCTTCGTCGCCGTTCTTGTTTTTGTTACGCGACTTGCGACTGGGGCGCGTGGGCATCGCGGGATGCAACGACGGCGCGTCGGCGCTCGAGCACGGCGGCCGCGCGCGCAGCGTTGGAGGCGGTCGGCGAGCTCTAGAGAACCGTGCCCCGCCCGAGAGTCGACCACGGACAAAAGATCCGACGGCATCCCCCAGTGGGTGGGTGGGCCCGGAGGTCGGGTTTTAAAAACCCGACGTGTACTTAAAGGGTACTTGTAACGCGCGCGCGCGCGCGCGCGGAGGCCGCGCGCGTCCCGCATCCCGCGCCGCGCCAGGAGCCGGGAGGAGGTGCCATGGGCCACGGCGGTGTCCTCGTCGAGTCGGGCCGCGCCCGGCTTTCGTCGGCTGACCCGCGGCTGCACGGTGGCGGCTCCTGCCGCAGCGGCACCGGCGACTCCCGGTCGAACTGCGGCGCCGCGCGGTCCCGCGCGCGCGGTGTGGCAATTCAGCGATAACCAGCGGCGCGCGACGCGGCAACTTGAAGGCAACCAACGAAAAAGGAGCTCGCTGATTGGCCGGGAGGTGGGTGGGTGGGCGCCGGTCGCCGGCACCAAAAATCCGGCATGCCGTCGGGTATTGTTTTTTAGGTAGCCTCCTGCCCCGCCGGCTAAAGGCCGACGGCAACCGGCCGGCGATTTTGCCCGGCTGGCTTGGGTCCAGCCGGCCGGCCCAATCCCGTCTCCCTAGGCCTCTCTGGCCGGCTTGCTTCCGGCCGGGTCGAAACCCGGCTGGCTGGCTGGCTTGCCAGAGGCGTATTTTGAATGCAAGTTGAAGGCAAAAATGGTCAAATTTGGCGATTACGCGGCTCAACGCCGCAGGATCTTCTCGTTCTTTCGACGGATCGGAGCCCCCCGGGGGCGGGAGCGACTCGCCGCACAAAAAGACGCGGGAACCCCGACCGTCTACGGACCGGCGGGGCCCGTATTCGCGAACGGGCGGTATCTCCGGGCTCCGAATCGATGCCACGTCGGTCGTTTTGAGTCGTCTCTTCTCGTCCTCTCGGCGGATCGAAGCCCCCCCGGGGCGTGGGCGACTAGCCGCACCAAATAACACAGGAATCTCGACCACCTACGGGTCGGCGGGGCCCCGAATCGAGTACGAGGCGGATCTCGAGGCACGGAACCGGCTCTACGGCGGTCGTTTTGAGTCGAGAGGCTTCGACCGGCGGCTCTAGGAGGTTGGTTCCGTCGATGGGGCTGTCCGTGATGCCATCTAGCCATAGGTTTTTGGCACCAGAAGTGCCCGAAAAGCCGTATTCTTTGTTTCGAGGCCCGTCGAGCGGCCGTAAAATAGGCATATTTTCGGCGAATCGGGTCGGCTGAAGTGGAAGTGCCGGCCTCGAGAGTTGCAACTAACATGTTCCTTGGGATCGAGACCGGTAGATTCACCATCGAGGGGTCTATTCGGAGCAGTTTCGGGCATCTACGCACCCAAACTGGGCCAAAATACGAAAATGTCGACTTAAAATGCGGATTTTATTCTAAATTGCGCAACTCTCTCGCGTTTGGGGTTGCCTTTTGTCCAACGCGTCCAGCGATACCGGGCTGACGACCGGAGGAGGCCGCCTTGAGGTTCTATACCAACATCCGACCCCTGGCGGACCCCTGCTGAGCCAGGAAACTGGGGAATCTGGCCGGGGGTTCTGGGGATTTGGGCCAGTTGGGGGCTCCGGTAGGGGTCGGATGTTGGCATAGGACCTCAAGGCGGCCTCCTCCGGTCGTCAGCCCGGTATCGCTGGACGCGTTGGACAAAAGGCAGCCCCAAACACGAGAGAGTTGCGCAATGTTAGAATAAAATCCGCATTTTAAGTCGACATTTTCGTATTTTGGCCCAGTCTGGGTGCGTAGATGCCCGGAACTGCTCCGAATAGACCCCTCGATGGTGAATCTACCGGTCTCGATCCCAAGGAACATGTTAGTTGCAACTCTCGAGGCCGGCACTTCCACTTTAGCCGACCCGGTTCGCCGAAAATATGCCTATTTTACGGCCGCTCGATGGGCCTCGAAACAAAGAATACGGCTTTTCGGGCACTTCTGGTGCCAAAAACCTATGGCTAGATGGCATCACGGACAGCCCCGTCGACGGAACCAACCTCCTAGAGCCCACGGTCGAAGCCTCTCGACTCAAAACTGCCGCCGTAGGGCCGGTTCCGTGCCTCGAGAACCGCCTCGTACTCGATTCGGGGCCCCGCCGACCCGTAGGTGGTCGAGATTCCTGTGTTATTTGGTGCGGCTAGTCGCCCACGCCCCCGGGGGGCTTCGATCCGCCGAGAGAACGAGGAGAGACGACTCGAAACGACCGACGTGGCATCGGTTCGGAGCCCGGAGATACGGCCCGTTCGCGAATACGGGCCCTGCCGGTCCGTAGACGGTCGGGGTTCCCGCGTCTTTTTGTGCGGCGAGTCGCCCACGCCCCCGGGGGGCTCCGATCCGTCGAAAGAACGAGAAGAGACGACTCAAAACGACCGACGTGGCATCGGTTCGGAGCCCGGAGATACCGCCCGTTCGCGAGTACGGGCCCCGCCGGTCCGTAGACGGTCGGGGTTCCTGCGTCTTTTTGTGCGGCGAGTCGCCCCTGCCCCCCGGGGGCTCCGACCCGTCGAAAGAACGAGAAGAGACGACTCAAAACGACCGACGTGGCATCGGTCCGGAGCCCGGACCGCGCGAACCGCACCAGCCTAACCGAAAATCGGTCGCTAGCCCGGCTGGGCTCCGGCCGGCGGGCCTGCGGCCCGCCGGCCGGAGATTTTGGCCCGGTTGGCCTGCCGGCCGGTGGGCCGCCGGGGAACCGAGGAGCTGGCGGGTCTGCCGGCGCAAAACCCGGCTGGCTGGCTGGCCGCAAACCCCCCGGCTGGCGGGGCACGGTTCTCTAGCGAGCTCCTCAGGCCTCAGCTGTGCTCCGCCGGCGCGCCACCGGCGTCGTCGCGCCGCGTCGTCGCCGCGTGCTGCAGCCGCTGCAGCAATGGGCTCGAGTCCCGACTACTCGAAGAGCAAAGCCCGATCCGTGCAGCCGTCGCGCTTCCCCGCCGACGACGGATGGCTCGACCGCTGCGACAAGGCCGCCACGCGCCTCGTCTCCTCCATGTCCCTGCCTCTCATCGTCGAATGCGCCATCTCCTGCCCCGGCTGCTTCTTCGGCATGCCGGCGTTCTTGCTCGTCGGCCCGACGATCGTCGACTGCCTCGTCGACGGCGCCGCGCCGTGGCTCGCGGTCGCGGCGACGTCGGCGCTCGCGGGCGTCTGGCTCGCCGGCGTGCACCCGGCCGTGGAGCACAAGGACGCGCTCGCCGCGCTCTACTCGCCTTATGTGATGACGACGGCGCCCGTCTTCGGCGCGCTCCTGAGCGGGAGCGTCGCGCGCTACGCGATCACGCTCTGGCTTTGTGGCATGGTCCCCGTCGTGGGCCTCAAGCGCGTCGCGCGGCGCCGCCGGCCCGTGACGTTCCCCTACGCCGATACGGAGGCGAAGAAGCTGCCGCGCATCGCGCGGTCGCTGCGCGCGTCGGACCCGAACGCGAGCTTCCCGTCCGGCGACGTCGCCGGAGCGACGGCGTTCTGCCTCGCGCTGCTGCCGACGCGTCCGGGCGTCGCCGCCGCCTGCGTCGCCTTGTCCGCCTTCGGGAGGCTTTTTTACCACGCGCACCACGTCGTCGACGTCGTTTTTGGCGCGTGCATCACCGCGGCCGCGCACTTTGCGCTCGGCGCCGCGGGGATCGAGCCCGCGTCGACGCTGTGGTGGACGCCCGTCGCCGCGGAGGCCGCCGCGCTGCCGATGATGAAGCTCCTCTCGACCTGGGAGAATAAGGAGCACTAGGTTTTTACTCGGGCGCCGCCGCCTCCTCCTTCGGGCACGGCCGGCACTCGTAGCGGTGGCGGTTCCAGTCCGCGGCCTGGCAGTCGCGGTCGCAGTAGGTGACGTCCTTGCACCGCCCGCACTTCTTCGGCTTCTCGCAGGGCTTCATGCAGTTGAGGCAGCGGCCCGGCGCGCAGAGCGCCGCGAGGCACGCGCAGGGGATCCGCGGCTTGAGCCACGCGACGAGGGCGCGGTCGGACGTCGTCGCCCGGAGCGCGTCGACGAGCGGCCGCACGCGCGCCCGGGCGTCGGGCGCCGCGGACTTGAGGTCCGCTCGCATGTTTTCCATCCCGAGCTCCGCCGCGACGCCCGCGAACGCGCCGAGGCGACCGAAGAAGCGGGCGGTCGTGGCCTCGCCGAAGTAGAGCGCGTCGACGGCGCAGGAGAAGCAGACCGCGGGTACGTCTTTCGTCAATAAGTCGCGCTCCTTCGCCGGCGCCCAGTACTCGAACAGAGCTTCCAGCTCGGCCGCCGCGACGCCCGTCAGGTCGGCGTCGTAGTCCGCCGCGCCGCCCCGGCCGCCGAGGGGCGTCTCCTCGAAGTGGCGGCGCCGCGCCTCGACGAGGCGCTGCTCGCAGGCCTGCGCGGCTTTGCAGAATTCCTCCGCGCCGTCGGGGCTCTCCGGGCCGCCGTGGCCGCACTGGTTGTCGTAGCCCTCGTCGTTGACCAGGGCGAAGATGCGCGGTACTTCGCTCGTCTCGAGGGCGCGCGCGCGCGTGATATTGTCGAACCAGGCCATGTGAGTGTCGCGGCGAGGCTTGTGGCAGTTGTTGCTCCGCGGCGGTCGCGGCCGGCGCGTCGGTGTTTTGGCCGGTGCTTGGGCGTCGAGGCGCGCAAGGCGAGGCAGGCGGCGGCGCTCTCGGGCTGCTCCTTGGGGGCGGAGGCGCGCGCGGCGACGACGGCGGCCGTGGTTGATGAGGTCGCTCTTCCCACAGTGATGGTGGCGATGGGCCCGACTTGTTGAGCCTCGAGAACGTCGATGCGTCGGCTCGTCATGGCCTTCCTGTGCTGCGCGCGCGCCGCGACATCTCTACGAAGCGCTACGAGCCTTGCGCGCGCGCCGCGCATCGGCACGGCGCGCTACGCGAGCGCGCAGCGGGTCGGGACGGTGCTCATCCGCAACACGCAGCGCTCCATCCCCATCGACGTCGACGCCGTCGAGAGCGTGACGCGCGCGCTGCTCGAGCGGTTGCGCTGCTCCGAGTTCGACGTGGGCATATGGCTGACGACGGACGCGACGATCCGCAAGTACAACACGCGGTTCCGCGGCATGCGCAAGTCGACCGACATCCTCTCGTTCCCGTTCCACGACGAGCTGGCGCCCGGCGCGCTGCCCGACGCCGTGGACCGCGACGACGAGGACGACCTGAATCTGGGCGACATGGTCGTCTCCGTGCCCTACGTGCGGCGCCGCGCGGAGAAGGACGGCGGCCGGGACCACGCGCCCGGCCGCGGCGTCGCCGCGGCGATGGCGCCCGTGGCCGACGTCGAGGAGCGCATCCACATGCTCCTCGTCCACGGCCTCTGCCACCTCCTCAACTACGACCACGAGACCGACGACGAGTTCGAGGACATGGTCGCGCTCGAGGACGAGCTCCTCGAAACGTACCGCGACTGGCGGCAGCGGAGACGATAAGTGGAGACGCGACTATCTTTACTGGGGATGGTGGCGTGCTAGCTGTACCTGTGCGCCGCGGGGACTTGCCGGGCGATGCCGAGATGCTGAGCCAATGCTGAGCCTAGATGCTGAGCCCCGGCCTTCGTCTTCTAGCGGCGCCTCGACGCGACCTGCGACTGCTCCGACGACGCCGGCGCCGGGAGGCGGCGCGGGCGGTTTTAACCTCCTATACCCCGGTCCCCCCGCTGTTGTTGTTGCCGATGTCAATGAAGATGGTCAGGACGATCATGAGACACTAGTGACTTACAGGGTCGGCGCGGGGCAGACCGTGCACGTCTCCTCGTGGTCCTCGAGGCGCTCCTTGGCCTGCGCGCGCGCGCTGGCCCTTGCGGATGGCCTTGAACTTCTTCCCGCACTTGCAGCACTTGAGCTGGGCGCTCACCATCGCCTTCTGATCCTCCGCGGACGCCGCGCGGAACTCCGCGAGGGCCGCGGCGGCCTCTTCGGCGGTGTCGTAGTGGACCACGCGGCCGAAGGAGCGCAGGGAGACCTGGCCGGACGCATGTCGGAAGTACGTAGAGAACTTGCCGTCCTCGCGCTTCGCGACGCCCACGGGCAGCGTCGGCGGCGTGCGCTCCTTCATGCCGGCGAGCGCGCGCGCCTGCTCCAGGCGCGCGACGACGGTGGCGAGGTCCGCCGAGGGCGTGTTGTCGAAGTCCGCGCCGGCCTCGAGGGCGATGTGGCCACGGATGGCGTAGCGGCCCTCGGTCCTGCGCTCGATGCCCGGCGGCACGTCGACCGTCGCGTCGTGGCTCTCCTCGACGCGCGCCGCGTGGAGGACGCGCTTCGAGTCGGCGATGGCACGCCGCTTTTCCTGCAGCGCGATGAGCGACTCGACGTGCTCGTCCTCGTCGTACTTGAGCGGGACGCGCTCGCCGGACGCGACGTCGGCGCAGTACTTCTTCTGGCGCTCGCGCTCGGCCTGGATCTCGTCGCCGGAGAGGTGCCGCCGCTTCCCCGTGGTCGTGTCGACGCCCGTGCGGCCGTTCTTCAGCACGTGCTGGTCGTAGCGCGCGCGCTCGCGCCGGTCCTCGATGACGATGGAGAGGTGGTGTTCGAACTCCTTCACCAAATCGGGCAGCGACGCGCCGCGGCTCGACGCCAGCGACGCCAGCGCCGTCGTCTGCGCGGCCTCGCCGAAGGACACCTCGCCGCGGAGGACCTTGAGGCTCTCCTCCTGGACCTCGAGGACGGCCGCCTCGACCGCGTCCATGTTGTTGAACTCCTTGAAGAGGTCGTCGTCGGACTTGAACAGGTCCGGCGCGATGAGGTCGATGAGGTGGCGCGCCTTCGCGTAGTAGGACTGCATCAACGCGTCCAGCTGCGCGGCCGGCGTGCCGTTCGCCGGCTGCTTGCGCTGGCGCAAGGCGGCGATCTCGAGCCCGACGCGGCGAAGCGCGGCCTTGCTCTCCGCGAGCTCCTTCCCGCCTTTCGCGGGTTCGGTGGTCAGGCGCCGCGGCGTCGCGCGCTGGCGCTGCGGCACGAGCGGCTGCTTGAGCACCGACATGATGGCACGACCCGACGGCGGAAGAGGCTGCGCGCGCTGAGAGCCGGACGATGACCCCGGCGCTATATGCAACGAAAACTTCATCATTGTGATTATCTGCGATATGGGCTGCCAAACAAGTGCAAGAAACACCTAACCGAACTGGGCCAATCCTCGGGCAGCGTACGTGCCCTTCGCGATGTCACTGCGCGCTTCTCTGGCGCGATGTCGCTGCGCCTTGTCCGAGATCCAAGTGCGAGGGAATCAGGCAATTTTGCAAACTGGCGAGCGCCACACCAGTCCACACACCCCTAACAACAGCCAACCCCAAGCCACCGTTAGTAGAACCGCGGCGGCGGCTTGACGACGATCTTCCCGTCGCGGATCTCGTGGGGCGGCTCGCAGTAGATGCCGCGCTGGCGCTGCTTGACGGCCTTCCGCGAGAGCAGCAGGCAGTCGTTCTTCGCACAGTCGCGCGCCGCCGCGTGGATCGCCGCATCGTGGCGCCGGTCCTGAAACACATTCGCGAGCTTGTCCCGGAGGCCCGGGACCCGCGTGCCCTCGGGGATCTGGTGGAGCAGCGCGCCGACGTCGAGCGACGACGATCCGGCGTCGTCGAGGAGCTCCCCGAGGAACCGCGCGTCGCGGAGCGCGTGGCGGATGAGCGTGGACCACAAGCTCCGGTCGTGTGCCTCGACGAAGCGCACGGCGCGCTTCACGGAGCCGATCTTGTCGAGGAGCAGCGCGAGCGCCTCGGCCGTCTTGCCCGTCTTGCCCAACACCCAGACCATCTCGTCGTAGAGCGGCGCCTCCTGCGCGGCGCAGGCGTCGTAGGCCTCGGTCAACGGCACGAAGGAGCTCCACCGTAGAAAACGGAGCATCTCGCTGTCGTAGTCCGCGCGCGGACCGGCCGACGCGGCGTCGGGGACGGGACCGAGCCGCGCGTAGAGCCGCGCGTGGTCCCCGTGGCGCGCGCGGTGGTCCGCCGACGCGTAGAGATCCGGCAGCCGCGCAAAGCACGTCCGCAGGTACCAGAGCCGCGCGGCGCCGCCGTCCTCTTCCCGCGCGAGCTGGTCGTCGACGTCGCCCAGCGGGAACTCGTCGACGTGCTTCACGAGCAGATCCGCGGCCCGCTCCTCCGAGAAGGCGCGGAGCGTCGCGACGCGGTCGCGCACGTCCTCGTACAGGCGCTGCGCCTCGACGAGGTCGAAGACGGCCGACGACTCCGTCACCGCCGACGGGTCGAGCGCGAGGAGGCAGTCGAGGCCGCGCCGCGCCTGGCCGTCGAGCACGTAGAGCTCCGCGACCGTCTCCGCGACGGCGGCCCGCCGCCGCGGCGAGCCGTCGCCCCGGCGGCGCCCCGCGTCGCGCTTCGCGCGCGCGTCGACGCGGACCATCAAGGCGTCGAGCGAGTAGAGCGACTCTCCCTCGAATACTTTCGGGTGGCCCCAGCGCTTCACGGCCGCCAGGAGCGCCGGCGGGTCCGTCTCCAACAGGCGTTCCAGCACCATGTCGTAGACGCTCGGCGCGAGGCGCGGCTCCGCCGTCGGGATGCGCGGCGCGAGCCGCGCGAGCGCGCCGCGGCGGTCGAAGACGAAGATCCAGTACTCCCAGAGCGTCGCCGACGCCCCCAGGAACTGGGGGCACGCCGCCGCCGCCGCCTCGGCCTGGCCCGCGTCCAGCAGCGCGTCCAGATGCGCCTTGACGAGGTCCGGGAGCCGGTGGCGCCGCACGGACGCCGGGAACGCGTTCGCGATGGCTAACGCGTCGCGGAAGCCCGCGTCGTCGCCCCGCTTCAGGCAGAGCTCGATCTGGTCGTCGACGTCGCGGACGCGCGCGAGGACGACGTCCCGCGGCGACACGACGTAGAGCACGGGCGGCGACCCGCGCATGAGCCGGCCGGCCTTCGCCGCGTTCTCGCCGGAGAAGTCGCGCGCGCGGCCGTCCTCGAGGAGGGAAAAGTCCTGGCGCCGCCAGGTCCCGGCGGCGCAGGCGACGTCGTAGGTCGACGCGAGCTGGTAGTCGCCCGCGCCGCAGGCCTCGAAGCCCGCGACGGGGAGCGCCTCGGGCTTCCCGACGACGGCCGCGTCGTCGCGCCGCAGCAGCTGCACCTCCGGCCGCGGCGACGCGCCCTCGCCCTTGCGGTCCTCGTCGCCGTCGGACTCGTCGTCCATGACGAAGCCCAGGACGGCGACGTGGTCGCGGTCGAAGGGCGCCAAACCGCAGAGCACGACGTCCGCGCGCGCGGACAGCGCCACGGCGCCCGCGCATTGGACGTGGGCGCCGAACTCGTCGCTCGCGTCGCCCTCGACGGTCATGTCGACCCGCAGCACGACGTCGGCCCAGCCGATCCAGAGCGAGCTGCCCTCCCAGAAGAGCACGGGAGCGCGCGCGCCGGCGAACTCCGTCTCGGGCGGTTTCACGTGGGCCGCGGGGCTCCCGGAGTCGGCGTGCATGGTCTTGACGCCGTCGTCGGCGGCCCAGGCGACCCAGGCCCCGCCCCATCTCAGCGCGGCCACGGGCGACTTCGCGTCGTCGAGGCTCGTCTTCTTCGATCCCCCTAGCCAGCCCCGGCACTGGCGGCTCACGTCGCCGGACGACGCGCCGGTGATGAAGACCCGCTCGCGCCGGCTCGCGTAGCGCGGGTCCAGCGCCACGCAGCGCAGGGGCGTCGCGTGGTGCTGCGCGTCGACGGCCTCCCACTCGCCCGCGGCCGTCGACGACGCGCCCGCTCTTCTCCCGTGCACGCCGCACGTGCCGTCGTCGGCGCAGGACGCGACGAAGTGGCCGCTCGCGTCCCAGGAGATGCCGCGCACGGCGGCGCCGTGCGCGCGGATCTCGACGCCGCTCCCCGTCGAGCCCTCGAGGCCGTCGAGGAGGCGCAGCGTGCCCGTGCTGCTGCCGACGGCGACGGCGTCGTCGTGCGGCGCGACGCACGTCACCGCCTCGTCCGGGGCGGGCAGCGGGAAGCGGCAGTACTGGAGCATGGTGGTCGTGCTACCGCCGTCTCCGACGAGCGGCCGGCGCCGCTACCGTCGTCTCCGAGCGCCGCCCATGCTCTCGCCTGTCCACTCGAGCCGCCGCCTGTGAGCGGCGCCTGCACGCGATCTAGAGGCTGAGCGCCCGCGCGCGCGCGGACCGCGGCGCGGTCGTCGCCTGACTGGGCCGCGTCGTCGAGCCCGAGCGGCGTCGCCTCGCAGCGCGGCGCCTTTCCAGAGACTCTCTCGCAAAACCGCTCTGAGACGAGAGAGATGGCGAACTCCCACCGCAACGGCGAGCGCGGCTCGGAGTCGCAGCTCTTCCCCCTGGAGGACGACGACGAGGGCGCGGACGTGCTGTCGACGCGCGCCGCCGAGTGGAGCTCGCGCGGCGCCGCGCCGCGGCCGACGCCGGAGTCGCTCCAAGCGCTCTACGCGACGCCCGCGCTGCGGCAGCTGGCCATGCGGACCTGGACGGACAAGTTCGGCGGCGACCCCGACTCGCCCGTGCCGTCCGAGGCGGCGACGGAGGAGGAGGCGCCGGCGCGGCGCGGCGCGGCCGCGCTCTTCGGAGCGGTGCTCGACGACGAGAGCGACGGCGAGCCCCCGCGGGAGACCGCGGGCTCGTCGCTCGGGTCGTTGGGCAGCCTCGCGCGCGCCGTCGGCGACGAGTCGAGCTGGAGCCGGCGCCTGGACGACGCCGTCGCGACGCGCGCGCGGCAGAACTCCGCGGGCTCCTCGGAGCCCGCGGAGGACGGCGGCGCCGTCTTCAACGAGACGGCCCAGCGCTGGGAGGGCGGGGCGAGCGTCGACCTGTCGGGCTTCGACGACCAGTCCGTCGCGACGGCGGAGACGCCGCGCAACAGCGACGGGTTCCTGAAGCCGCCGCCGCCGTTGCGGGCGTCGTCGCCGGCGAAATCCGCGCGGCGCCGCGCGTCGAGCCTCGAGGAGCGCGCGCGGCCGCCGGCGGTCGTGTGCCCCGCGCTGCTCAAGGAATATCGCGACGCCGAGAAGCGCCACGACCGCGAGATCAAGCGGTTCTTGCGGGGCGGCGGCGACGGCGACGAGGCGGACGACGTCCCCCGCGCGCTGGCGTCCTTGGGCCTCGACAACAACTCGCGGGCCGTGACGCGCTTGGCGCGGCCGACGGCGTCCGCGGCGCGGCGAGCGTCCGTCGTCGTGGCCCACGTGATCCCGGGCCACGTCCGCGACGTCAACGACTGGCTGCGCGGCGGCGCGCCCGCGCGGACCCTCGAGCTCGGGGAGCGAGCGGGGGGGCTGCGACGGGACGTGGAGCGGCGGCGATGACAGTAATATGGGCGCTTGGTTTGGATGGGGTCTGGTCGGGGATGGTGGCGGACGGGTCGAAGGCCGGAGCTAGTCCGGAGCTCTCACGCCGGGATCGTCTCTTTTGTCCGACCAATGAGAACCCCCGGCAACTCCGATCGTGATTCCGCGCGAGTGCTCTGCGGACGCGCCGGGAACGAGCTCGTCGGACCTCTACGATTGCCAACCACACCGCACCAGCCCGGCTGCAAATCCACACACGATGATCGCCTCGTCCATGTCCTTCGACGACGTGCAGGCACCGCAGCCCTGCGTGCGCCGCAATAGCGCGACGCAGCAAGCCCAACCCCTCGACCTCTCGCATTTGTTCGGCTACGCCGCGCCGCCCACGCCGCCGGGCCAGCCGCGCGTCGAGATCATCAGCCACACCTACAGCGCCGCCCAGGAGGCGTACAACAGCGCGCGCGGCCACGACGACGGCGCGACGTTCTACAAGGACGCGACGCCGCGATCCGACCACCACCTCAAGGTGTCGGTCCGCGTGCCCGGCGTCGCGTACGCGGTCCCGATCCGCCTGGCCATGTGCTACGCCGAGGACGGCTCGGAGGTGAGCGCCCAGGACGCGACGAGCCTCAAGATCCTCGGCGACGGCCGCAAGCAGTACGTCGTGCCCGCGGGCGGCGTCGTCAACTTCTCGTACCGCTTCGAGCTCGGGTCCTTCCGCCGCGCGGACCGCAAGTTCTGCGTGAAGATCTCGGCCGACGCGCGCGACGGCCTGCCGCTCGCGCACGCCGCGGCCATCGGGCCGGCGCTCACGCCGGGCGTCCTCGTGCTCTCGAAGAAGAAGCTCGAGCCGGACCACCCCGAGTTCGCGCGCGAGGCGTCGCTCAAGCGCAAGCGCGACGGCGTCGCCGAGGACGCCTCCGACGACGTGCTGACGAAGGTGCTCCACCGCCTCGAGTCCCTCGAGCGCGCGGTCACGAAGCTGTCGGACGCGCTCGGCGAGGCGAGCCCGGGCCACCCGCTCCTCCTGCGCGACGGCTCCCGCGACTCCGCGCGGGCGATCACGCGGGACCCGTCCCGCGAGCCCTCCCGGGCGCCGTCCCCCACGCCCATGGCGCGCTTCGAGCGCCAGCGCAGCATCTCCCCGAACGACCAGATCGCCGCCGCGCACCTCGCGGCCTTCTAAGCATGGTTCCCCCCATCTCCTCTGTGTGTTGTCTAAGCCCAATGACGTCGGACCCTAACTCCCCTTAGCCTCCGCGCCCGCGTCCGCGTCGTGCGCGTGGACGGCCTCCTCGACGGCCTGCTTCGTCTCGTCGTCGCGGCGCGAGGGCCAGAAGACCTCGTAGGGCTGGCCCGCGTCGGACATGGTCGCGCGGATGCAGCCCTGGACGGCCAGCGCGCTGACGACGGCGCGCCACTCGTCCTCGTTGCGGCGCCAGCCCGAGACCTTGAGCAGTTTCAACAACTTCTTGACGTGGCACGGCATCGCGTCGCCGCCCTCGCGCCGGTCGTAGAGCACCATGACCAGGATCCAGTCCATGCGCATCTTCTCGTGGCCCGTGAAGAGGGACCCGTCCGTGCCCGCGGACCGCCGCTTCGGCGGGCCCAGCCGAAACGTGTCGCCGAACTGGAAGCCGCTGTGGAGGTCCACCTGCATGCCGCCGCCGCCGGCGGACGCGAACGACCGCGTGCCGTCGCCGTGCAGCAGCGCCTGCGTCTCCCGGTTCAGCGCGTCCCGCGGACTCAGGTCCTCCTCGTCGCTCGACGCGTCCTCGGACGTCTTGACCTCGACCGCGCGCGCGATCGTCGCGCGCAGCGCCGCGAACGCCGGCTTCGCCTCCGCGTCCGCGACCGCGCGCGCGAGGGCCGCCACGGCCACGAGGCCGTCCTCGTCCTTGGGCGCGGCGCGGACGACGGCCCGGAACTCCTCGAGGGGCTCGCCCTCGAGGTGCGCGTAGCTCTCCAGCGCCTTGACGGCCTGGATCTCCGTGAGTCCCGCCGCGTCGCCGATGTCCAACGCCTCGAAGATCTCGACCATGTGGGCGATCTCGATCGCCGTCTCCTCGGCGGTCTTCGCGGGGACGGCGGGCGCCGCGACAGCGACGGGCCGCGCGTCGTCGTTTCCGGGAGCCGCCGCGTCGTCGTCGTCGTCGTCGTCGGGGTCGTCCGCGTCGAGCGTCGTCACGCCCCCGAGCGCGGCCGCGTCGATGGTGAGCGCCGCGCCGCCGCGCTGGAGGAGGCTCAAGCGCGACGACAGCGCCGCCGCCGCCGCCGTCGCCTCGCCGTCGCTGTCGTCGTCGTCGTCGTCGGCCGCCGCGTGGACCTTGGCGCCGCCGATGCGGCTCTTGGACCGGCGCTTCACGGTGGACCGGCCCTTGGCCGCGCTCGACTTGCGGCCCTTCGCGTCGCCGTCGCCCCTGCCGGGCGCGTCGGGCCCGCCCGCGCGCGGCGTCGACTGGCGGCTCGGCGCCTTCTCGGCCTTCGACGGCCGGCGCTCGCCTGGGCAGGACAAGAGATATTCAACGTCGCTTCAACGTGAGTGTTCCGCGCGCGCGCGTCCCGGAAAAAGCATCCACGCTTCGAGACGGTTCCAAGAGATGATCGCTCGTCCAAAAATCAGCCAAAACGAGTGGAAAACGGCCGAGATATGAGGCTTTGAAGTTTGGAATTTCGCTCTCTTGTCCTGCCCTGGCGCTCGCGCGGCGCGGCCGCGGGCGGCGGGCCCTTGGGCGGGCCCTTGAGCACGTAGCGGAAGATGGCGTTCCAGCCCGCGGGCCGCGACTGGGACACGGCCACGAGGAACTCGTCGAAGTCCAGGACGCCGTTGCCGTCGAGGTCCGCGACCTTGAGCACGCGCGCGGCCTCCTTCGCCGTCGCCTTGGCCCCGAGGCGCTTCAGGCAGGCCTGCATCTCGGTCTTGTCGATGAAGCCGCTCCGGTCCTCGTCGATCTCCCGGAAGACGGCCTCGTACTTCTTGATCTGGTCGCCCGTCAGCCCCGAGCGCGCGTCCGGGATCGCCACCTTCTTCTCGACCTTCCCGCTGCCCTCCTGGAGCCAGCCGACCCACCAGAGCTGCCAGCGCTTCGTCGAGGCGCGCTTCGCGATCATGACCTCGTAGAAGGCCTCGAGCGTGAGGAACTTGGCGCAGCCCGCGTCCTTGATCATCTGCTTCGCGTCCGCGGCCGCGGCCTTGATCTCCAGGTCCGCGAGGGCCGCGACGATCTCCGCCGGCGCGACCTTGCCGTCGCCGTCGCTGTCCATGCCCACGAAGACGCTCCGGTAGAAGTTCGTCTGGTCGCCGCTCAGCGAGCCGAACGCCTCGCACGGCGGCAGCGCCGCGGCCTTCTCGCCGAAGACGGGCAGCCAGCTCCGCCACCAGCTCCCCGCGTTCTTCTTCAGCCGCGACGTCGCGATGACCTCGAGGAATTCCTCAAAGTCCAGGGCGCCGCTCTTGTCCGCGTCCGCGTCCTCCATCAGCTTCGACGCCTGCGCTTCGGAGATCTTCGCGTGGGCGCTCAGCACCTTGTAGATCTCCTCCTGGTCCAGCGTGCCGCTCTGGTCGAGGTCCGCGGCGGCGAAGCTCCGCCGCAGCTCCTCGATCTCCTCGCCCTTGAGCTCCACGCTGTGGGATTTCAGCGTGAAGCGCCGGCTCAGGCTCTTCATCAGCGGGTTGAACTTCGTCACCGTCGACCTAGGTTGCGTCGTCGTGGCGTCGCTACACTACCCTTCGACGCGGCGCGACGCGCGACCACCAGCTCTGGGGCACGAGCTTGCGGTGCACGGCGTCGACGTACTCCTGGGCCGAGACCATGCCGTTGCCGTCCGCGTCGCAGAGCTTGACGACCTCCTCGACGCGCTCGAGCGTCGCCTCGACGCCGCTCCGCTGCAGCGCCGCGAAGATCTCTGCGACGGGGGAAATAGGGTGCGTGCCGCGCCGCGCGCGAGGCGGCGCGCACCCTGGGCCGTGAGCTCGCCGTCGCTGTCCGTGTCCATGTCGCGGAACGCCTTGAGCACGGCCTGCTGCTCGTCCGACAGGCCGGAGAGGTCGTCGAAGGCGACCGACTTGGCCATGCTCGCCGGCGGCGCCCGCGCCGGCCGCGCGAACAACCGGACGTCGACCAGCCCAGCGTCGGCCGAGGCGCTGGAAACTAGTCAACTTGCATTTTGTATCCGCTCGGTCTGGGGCAGCCTCGCCGCGGCTTAGGTTGCTCGATCCAGAACTGTGCGCGCCGCTGCCACCATGCTTCCGGTCGTCATCATCCTCAAAAGCGCCTCCATCGCGACGGTGGAGCGCGTCCACGACCTCGCGGTCAAGCTTCCGCTGCTGCTCTCCACCTACGAAGCGTTTGTTTTTCATGTATGTGCTTTGCTACGTCCCGTTTGGGTTTTTCCTGTTTTTTAAGATCATGACGGGCCACAGCGCCAACACGGATCCCCGCGACAGCTCCGCGACGGTCTGCTCCGTGTCGCCCCTCGCCAAGCGGCTCATGGCCTGCCACAACAACCTGCTCGAGGGCTACCCGTTCTTCGCCGCGGCCGCGCTCGCGGCGACGCAGGCGGGCGTGGCGAAGGACGTCATCGGCGAGTTCGCGAGCGTTATTGTCGCGGCCCGCGTCGCCTACACGTTCTTCTACGCCGCCGGCATCAACGAGGCCATCGCCGGGCTCCGCACGGTCTCGTGGTTGATGGTCATCGCAACGAACGGCGCGCTCTTCCTCCTCGCGGCCGAGGAGAAGGTCACGGGCAAGAAGCGCAAGTAGGCCGACGACCCTGACGCGCGGACTGCCAGGGAGGGGGCGTCGACCTCGTCTCCTTGAGTTTCTTATGTCCTGGGCGCGCTCTCGAGCTAGGCGAGCAGGGGCGCGACCGTGTCCGGGAAGAGTGCGGCGAAGGCGATCATGGCCGTCGCGTAGAGGCCCGTGAGCCAGAGTTGCGTGCGGAGCAGGTCGAGGTCGAGCGCGTAGACGACGGGGTAGGCGACGCGGATGCCGAGGAAGAGCGTCGCGAGCTTCGCGAAGAGGTCCTCCGCGAGGCCGCACTCCTTGGCGACGAACCACGCCGCGAGCATGCCGATCGTCGCCTCCCAGGTGTTGTACTGCGCCGCCTGGACGCGCTCGATCCAGGCCGGGTTGCCCGCGGCGACGATGGCGCCGGGCGCCTTCTGCGAGCGGCTGCGCTGGCTCTCGTAGCCGTTCGGCGCGACGGCCGAGAGCGCCTCGAGCGCGACGATGGCGATGACCACGGCCAGGAGCGGCATGATCGCCGCGACGAGGAACGGCACCTTGGCGGCGGGCACGGGCATCGCCGCGACGGCCGCGGCGCCGACGTCGCCCTTGCAGAAGCCGGCGACGCTTGCGTGCGCCAGGCCCAGCATGACCGGGAAGAACGCGTTGAGCTTGAGGAAGCCGCAATCGGCGAAGCTCAAGCCCGCGGCGCGGAACGCGTCGCCGATGCCCATGGTTAGCGGTCGAAGGCGGTCGTAGAGGCGAGGAAGGCAGATCGAGCAAGCACGAGGCCGAGGGGGGCAAATTAAGCAAGCCACTTGAATCGAGACTTTTCGACCGAGTCAACTTGACGTCATCTTGCACTCCGAAGTCACCCCCCACTTTCGCCGCAGAAGCCCTTAGATGGCCTCGATCTCCTGCATGGAGAGCCCCTCGTAGCACGTGAGGCCGTCGGAGTTCTTCGGGCGGTCGTCCGCGCCCTTGGACTTGAGGTACTCGGCGATGTCCTCGAAGCCGTAGGCGTAGGCGTAGTGGAGCACGGTCTGCCCGTTGTTGTTGGGCAGGTTGATGTTCGCGCCGCGGCGCAGCGTGAGCTTCGCGATGCGCTTGTTGCCGTTCTGCACGGCCACGGAGAGGAGCGTGTTGCCGAGCTCGTCCTGGTAGTCGATGGGCAGGAGCCAGTCGGGCTGGTTCATCGCGTTCTCGATCTCCTTGTAGCGGCTGTGCCGCGCCCAGGAGGCGAGCTGCGCGAAGTCGTCGGACATCTTGTTCGCCTGGGCGGCCTCGGCCTCCTGCGCGGCGAGGCCGTGGCGGTCCATGACGTCGATGAACGAGTCGTCGGCCTTGTTCGGCGGGTTGTCCAACACCTGCTCCGCCTTGGCCGACAGGGACCCGATGAACTCGACGGCGAGGGGCTCCTTGCCCGCGCTCCAGGGGTCGAAGCCCACGGCGAGCCAGTCCTCGGCCGCGGGCCGCGGCTTGATCCGGCCGATGGGCCGCGCCTGCGGCAGGTTCGGGATCCAGGGCAGGTAGTCGACCTTGGCCGGGCCGACGTGCGTCGCGTGGATGGCCTTGAAGAAGCCCTCCGGCAGCGGCTCCGCGGACCGCCGCAGGAGAGACCCGTCGGACTTGGACGACCCGACGAAGAGCTGCGACTCCGCCTCGCCGAGCGCGACGAACGAGTCGCCTAAACCCGCGACGCCGTGCGTGTCGTAGCCCCGCGCCATGGCCTCCCGCTCCGCCAGCAGCTCGGGGTACGCGACGACGGGCACCGTGTTCTCGATGTCGGACTTGCGGTCCCCTAAAAACACGATTGGCTGCGGCAGCTCCTCGTCGGGCGGCGGGCTCAGCTCGACCTTGTCGACGCCCTGGAAGATGTCCGTCGTCGACAGGGGCGCCGCGCCGTCGCTCCGCGCCTGGGCCCGCGCGGCGACCTCGTCCTCGTGGGGGAGCGTGTCCAGCTCCGGGTTCTCCGTCGTCGGGTCGGGCACGCCGATGGGCAGGCCGAGCGACTCGGCCCGGGCCTGGACGCGCCGCGCGCCCGCGACGGCCTTGGCGTCCATGCGGCCCTCGGGCCCCACGTCCTCGACCTCGGAAAAGTCCTCGGGCGGCGGCGTCCGCGACCGGCTCGGCGAGCCCGCGGTTTTGGGCGGCGACGCCGGGAAGCCCGGCGTTGCGGGCTCCGCGACCGCGAAGAGCGGGTTGTTCGCGCCGAGGCCCATGCCCAGGCCGACGGCGGCCTTGAGCAGCGCGGAGACGTCGCCGCCGCTCTGCATCGCGGGCAGCAGCGCCGCGGCCACCGCGGACGCCATCGTCTCCGCCGCGGCCGCGGCCGCGGGCGTCGGGCCGCCGCGCGCCGGCGACCGCGCGTCGAGGGACTCGTCCGACGCGTTCGTCGTGAAGGACACGGCCGTCCGCGCCCGCTCCGTCCCCGACGTCGACGGCCGGCTCGCGCCCGTGCCTGGCCGGCCGCCGAGGGGCAGCGCGGGCACGGCCGGCGCGGCGCCCGGCGTCGGCGGCTTCCGCTCCTCGACGTGGCCCTTCTCCGTCGCGCGGCCCGAGGCGTCGAGGCCCGCCGACGGCCCCTTCTTGATGTTGCGGTTCTTCGCCGACAGCTCCTCGAGGCTCATGCGCTTCTGGACCTTGACGTCCTCGCGCGACTCCGGCGGCGGCAGCTTGCCCTTGTCGCGCTGCGTCTCGATGTCGTAGGCGACGTTGCCCCGCCGCGTCTCCAGTTCCTCGGAATCCTCGTGGTGCTTCAGAATCAGGGACCGCACCTCGTGCGTGGGCCGCTGGATGCCCGCCCACTTGGGGTCGCGCGCGTTGTCCTTGTGGTCCACGCGGACGCCGCCCTCCATGACGCTGAGTTTTTCGCAGTCCGCCAGGGGCCGCTCCCAGAAGGTCTCGCCCGTGCGCCGGTTGTACCAGTAGGCGATGCCGTCGTCCGTGCGGAACTCCTCGTAGTGGTTCCGCTGCACGAAACCCCACGACCGGTAGATCAGCGACACGAACTGGCCCATGGGCGCCGCGCGGTCGCAGCCGTGCATGAACTGGCCGCACTGCTGGACGCCCAGGTTCGTGAAGACCTGCTCCTTGTTCGGCGAGCAGTGGTCCACCAGGAGCAGGTGGTAAAAATCCAGCGTCGTGTTGTTCCGCGACGACGGCTCGCAAAACGGATAACTGTGGTCGACGTGCGTCGTCGTCGTCGTGTTCGCCGCGGGCATGTTCGGCGCGGCGATCTCCGTCGACGGCGTGAAGGACTGGAGCTCCGTCGTCGTCAAAACGATGAACTCGAAGCCCGCGGCGTGCGCGGACGTCCGGAACCCCAGGTCGTGCTCCTCGCCCGTCTGCGACGGCCGGTTCAGCCCAAAGTAGTGGCGGTCGCCGCGCAGCACGGGCGTCGCGATGCAGACCGTCGGCGAGATGCGGTTGTTCAAGCGGTGCTGGAGCTCGCGCTCGACGAAGTGCTGCGTCACGGGCGGGCAGTCGTAGGTCTCGAAGGACGCCGTGATCTCGGGGGAGACCTCCGAAACAATAGCCTGGCGCTCCATGACCGTGAAGTTGCCGAACTGGGGCGGGATGACCGCCTGGACGAGCTGGTAGACCGTCAGCTCCGCGGCCAAGCCGCCGACGGCTTTGTTGCCCGGCGTCGGCTTGCGGGAGAAGGTCGCGAACTTGACCGTGTGGGGGCTCGGGTACTTGGTGCGGCGCAGCAGCTCCATGCCCGGCACGGGGCTCAGCGTGTGGATCTGCGCCGCGGCCGCGTTGACGGCGTCGCGCGACACGGCGCCGGACAGGCGCTCGAACCACGCCGCGATGTGGTCCTCGGGGATGTTGTTGTTGCGCGCGAGCACGGACCCCTCGAAGCTGTAGTCCGGCTCGGGCATGGGGATGGTCCGCGGCGCCGGGAGGTTGTAGACGACGGGCTCGAAGAGCTTCACGGGGAACGGCACGGGCGGCGACCGGATGTAGGAGTAGTGCTCGTCGTCCGCGCGGGCCTTGGCCAGATAGACGGCGGCGCCCGTGCGCTCCGGCAGCGACGTGCCCGTCACGGGGCCCAAAGGCCGCAGCGCGGCCGTCTTCCGCGTGTACGACTTGACGAACGAGTGGTTCATCAGCGAATTCCGCAGCTGGAGCATCTTGCCGCTCTGGGCCGCGCCCTCGACCTTGATGTGGCCGCACCGCAGCTCCTCCACCAAGCTCAAGATCCACGTGCGCTGGTGCAGCTTGCGCCGCATGGTGAAGTTGCACCGCGCGACGTGGTGGAAGACGGCCCGGTAGATGGGGTGCTTCTGCTCCACCGTCGCGACAAAAGTCTTGCGCTCCTGGTCGTAGCGCAGCGAGCTCACGGACTTTTGGAAGAGCTCCTGGATCTCCTCGGACCGGTAGCGCCGCTCTAAAATGGCGAGGTCCCAGTTCTGGCACATGAGCGAGCTCTCCGACGCGGACTTGAGTTTGGCCTCGTCCTCGTCCGCGTGGAGCGCGCAGTGGCGCTTGCCGCTGGACCAGCAGTTGAAGCAGATCTTCGACGGGATCTGCTTCGTCCAGCCCGCGCCCGGGTCCTCGCGCTCCGCGTCCGACTGCTTGAGCAGCTCGAAGGGGTCGTCCGTCTTCGTCGCGTCGATTTCGTCGATGTCGAAGCCGTCGTGCGTGATGTCGCGGATGGCCATGGTCTTGTCCCGGTGCTTGTACTTGCCCTCGAGGCTCCGCTTGCCCTCGATGCGCTGCTTGTTGCTCTCGAGCACGGACACGGCGGCCATCATGGTCTTGTCGGAGCCCATGATCGGCTCGCGCGTGTCCTGGTTGATCGTGCCCGTCTCGACGCTGTAGTCGAGGAACGTCGCCTGGCGCAGCTCGTGGCGCTGGTTCGCCATGAGCGTGTGCACGCTGTCGAACTTGTGCGTGCGCAGCGTCTCCTGGACCGCCTCGCGGAGGCGCACCTTGGACATGGACCCGTCGGGCAGCACGAAGTGGCTGTTGATGCCGCCCTCCTCGACGCCGCCGCGCACGCTCGGGTTCGCGAGGTCGTCGCCCTCGCCGTCGTAGAGCGACGCGCCGGGGCCCGGGGGCAGCGCCGAGACGATGGGCTCCGACGCGGACCGCGAGAGGAGCCCCGTCGCCGCGCGCGACCGGTCGCCGCCGCCTCCCGCGGTGTCCCGGAGGATGCGCCGCGAGTCCGCGAGCGACGACAGGGGGCCGACGTTCGTCTTGCGCATGGCCCGGTGCAGCAGCTCGACCTTGTCGCCCGGCGCGCCGTCGGGCAGGTCCACCTCGACGTACGCGGACGCGAGCTCGCGCGCCTCGGAGAGGCTCGAGCTCGACGGCCGGATGCTCCCGTCGCGGTCGTCGTCGTCGTCGCGCTCCGGAGGCGGGTGCACGGGCGGCAGCGTCACGACCTCGTCGCCACTCGGCACGACGCCCTCCAAAGCGTCGGGCGCGTCCCACTGCGACGTGTGCGTCAGCGTGTTAAAGTACCACGACTCGCCCGTCTCGCGGTCGCAGACCTCGACCCAGCGCTTCTCGATGGCCGCCTGGAGCTCCGACTCGTCGCGCTTCAGGTGGTGCAACCGCCGCCCGATGCGCCCGCGGAAGGCGCGCTGCACGTTCAGCGCGGCCATGTCCTCCTTGAGCCGGTGGCTCCGCGCGGTCTTCTCCGTGGCCGCGTAGGCCTGGGCGACGGCCTGCTCCGCGTTCGCGCGCGCGATGATCGACAGGCGCTTCCGCTCCGAGGCCAGGGCCGCGAGGCGCACGCCGATCTGGGGCACGTAGGAGTCGCTGCCGTCGCGGATCGTCGCCTCCTGGGCGCCGAAGGTGAGCGAGTTGGCCTCGGCGACGGCGCGCGTCGCGTGCGGGTCGGGAGTCGCGGGCGTCGCGGACCGCGTCGTCGCGGAGCTCGCGCGGCCGCTGCCCCGCGTCGACGGCGCGGGCGCGTCCGCCGCCGCCTTCTTCGCGCGCTTGGACACCTTCTCGTCGCCGCCGTCGCTCCGCGCGGAGTTTTGGTTCGACGTCTGCGTGCCGCGCGCCTCGTTGAGCTGCTTCATGAAGCTCGGCGGCTTCTTCGCCAGTTCGTCGCCGCCGCCGCGCGTCACGATGGGCGGGTCGGCCTTGGGCGCGCGCGGGGGCGTCTCGGACGCCGCGCGCTTCGCGCGCCGCTTCTTCGTCGACGGCTGCGACCCGTAGCCGCTGCTCCGCGCGTTCGGGTCGCTCTCCTTCTTCTTCGGCGGCTTCTTCGGCTTGTCGTCGCCGCGGACGCTCGCGAGCAGCTTCTGGGTCTCGAGGTCGAGGTTCTGCAGGTCCTCTGCGGGGGCGGGGGGCGTGAGCGTGAGCGTCGCGCGCGGGGCGGGGCGTTCTCACCCGTCCAGCCGGGCATCGTCGTCGCGAGGGAGTTGTTCGTGCTGCCAAAGTCGGACGCGGAGCTGCCATGGCTCCCGCCGAGGTAGTTCATGGCGGCGTCCTTCTCCAGGAGCGCGCGGATGAGCCGCGGCGCGCCGCGGGCGAGGCGCCAGACGCCGACGCGGTCGTCCTCGTCGGCGAAGTCCTCCTCCGCGGAGTCGACGCTCTACGCCGGGCCCGCCGCCGCGGGGGATCCAGACGCAGCCCCGTAGCGCGCGCCGAGGCCGTTTTGATACGGCAGAGGACA